CTGACTGGTGATACTGGAGCTGATGGCAAAGCGCCAGAAATTGCCCCAGAAGAAGAAACAACCAGTGGTTCGTCAAGATTTTCTGGCGCAAGGATGCTCTTGTGAGAGGTGTATTCTCGAGTGGCCTCCAATTGGGACTTCTCGAAGCAAGACCGCACAACTGGGAGAATCTTTGACAGTACGAAAGGGTATCCTGGTGAAGGACCGAATGGTGGTGATGACTTGATTTCCTCTAAGAGGAACTTGCCCTGGATCTCGGAAGATTATCTCGATGGAGTGATGTCAAAAAAGATGGAAACGTCTTCAGAGATGAATGTGTTGGATGGGTTTGTTCCGGAAAGTGAGGGACAGTTGGAAAAGGTAGAGGTGGAGAATGTAACTGCCTCTAGAATTCTTATGGCTCTTTGGACAAAGGGGTATAGAGCCGGGTTTAGGAGGTTGTGTCGTTCGAATGTATCTGGACTCAAGGTTTTTGCAGCAAATCATCCAATCAAAAAGGTTCGGAAGATCGGCACTAGAAAAGCCCTCTTGAAAATGCTCAATATTTGTGGATCCTCTCAGAATGGCTCAGGAGCTGGTGGGAAACCAATCATGAAGGTGATAGGACCAAGGCCAGGTTTTCCAGCTGTTCTTGATGCATCAAACATTGATAGCACTTTGGGTGAAGGGAGCAGTTCTCAGGTACATGACAATGTCCGTGTAGAGCAGAATCGCCCTATGGACCGTTACGAAGCGGAGCGTCTGGAGAAGAGGAAGAAAGGCATCTGCTATTGGTTCAGCAGGGGAAAGGATAGCTGCAAATTTGGTGAGAATTGCAGATTCATCCATTCAAAGGATGATGTGGTGTTACAATCGTATTGGTGCAAATCTTATGTGGCTGGGAGACACTGCTACGCTGCAGAGGACTGCAAGTTCTCGCACGACGCAACTGGTGTAAGGTGTATTCAGTTTGCTCAGTCTGGGAAATGCCGTCATGGGGACAGGTGCGTCTTCGTACATGGTGATCCGCTGGATGGACCGCCCTAGGACGCCCCCAAGGGATGGTCCGCGGAGGAGTACTGGTACAAGAGGTGGAGGAAAGGAAATTTCTCCTGAACGGTATGATGAAGATGATGAGGATTTGATGGGATACGACGACGACACCAGGATGATGGAATTGCTGATGGAGGCAATTTCTTACATGTCTGATGGTAAGTCAGATTTGGCCCGCGCGGAAGCGGATCCGGTGTTTAAACTTTTGAAGTTCAATGGAGATGCTGAACAAATGGACGCGGAATGGTGTTCATGGACTACTGGTATGCTGTCTTCATTGGAACTTCACGAAATAGTGAAGTCGTATGAGATTCCACTGGTGGAGGTTGAAGAGTGGATCGATGATTTGAGGATATGGTTCCAACGAGCTAACCTGGAAGAAGAGAGCGATCCAAAAAGGGGCAAAAAGAGGTCCCTAGAAGGGGAGTCCCAGAAGGACACTCCTGCCAAAAAGGAGGTATTGGAAACCTTGGAGACGGAGGTTACCGTGGAGGAAGAGGCGAAAAAAGCCAAGAAGAAGCGGAAGACTGCTGCAAGTGAGGATCCATACACTCTTCTGGTTCCAAAGCCGAAGAAGATGCCGGTGAATGCTGAGAAGGGTGGATCGTCAACAAAAGCGGTGGTTTCTGGAGAGGAAAAGGCCTCTTCACGAGCGCGCACAAAGACAAGCGTTTCGGGAAAGACGCGGAAGAAGGAGAAGAGCCAGAGTCCAAAAAAGGAAGAGGTGGCAAAGGTGAAGGGTCCTGAAGAAAAGGATCGTCCTTCTGAAGTGGATGCGCAGTCATCTACCACTGTTGATGCAGAACTGGGACAATCCTGCCAAGCAATTGAGGACGCGAAGAGAGAGGGGCTGGTATCCTCAATTCAAAGGTGTGTGCAAGATCCTGTTCTTACAGTATCGGACCTGGAACATGTTTTGCTGCGACTCCATCTAAGCATCGACGCCAATCGGAGGAAGAAGAAGGGATGACTGGATGGTGTCAATGATGGAATGGTTTTCTCTTTCCGAAGACAAGTGCGCTGGAACAGCCAATGCGCTGAAAGTATGGTGGTTACTATTAAGGGTAGGGAAATCCCTGATAGTAGAGAGTGTACAGCACTTAGGATAGTGAAGACCGCGATTCGTGGTGAAGAAGGCTGAAAAGGTCTTCAAAGACGAGTGAATTATAGAGGGGAAAAGATCCTCATGGTATAATGAGTTCAGCCAATGCGTTGATAAAGATCCGTCCTGGAAGACGTTAAACCACTATATGCATTTCAAGCAGCTGGCTGCTGCCGATAATGGCAGTTTTTGGCCTAGGATCTGCACCTCCATATGTGTCCTAGGAAATCCTAGGACAGGGGGAGTGCGGAGCTGCAGTTTGTATTCAGGAATTGTGTTGAGGTTTAAAGGAAAAGGGTCAATGTGCCCGATGATATTAATGGCTCAAGACTGGGCCATGCGCCTGGTAGCAAAAAGAAACCTCGTGTGTTTGGTGTTTGCTGGTTGGTTCAGGGTGAAACCTCTGGCGACTGTTAGGGTTGATTCCTTTCCCCTTTCGGTTGCCCCCGTACCCTAAACCCTATACCCTAAAGCCTAGGGTTTATTGAAATTATTGAAGGCTCATGTCCGGGAAAGTTTTTGGGACACGTTTCGACGAGTTGCCGCAAGTTTCGAGGAGTTGCGTTAGTTTAGGGTTTGAAGTTTAGGGCTTGCGGTTTAGGGTAGCCCCTAAACCCTCAACGTCTCGACTTGCTGGGATGCTTCTGGATATTTTGATGTGTGCACCCATCCCCACCCCCCCCCCCCCGGCGGAGTGGTTGCGATTGGTTTTAGGGTTTGAGGTCTTAGGCTTCAGGGTTTTAGGGTTTAGGGGTGTAGGGTTTTAGGGCTTAGGCTTGGGCTCAGGGTCTTAGAGTTTTCGGGTTTAGGGTTTCAGGGGCTTAGGAGACCCTAAACCCTAAACCCTAAACTCTAAACCCCAAACCCCAAACCCCAAACCCCAAACCCTAAACCCTAAACCCTAAACCCTAAACCCATGGGGGGGGGGGGGGGGGAAGACGAGAATGCACAGCGTACAACCATGTGCAAGCCCCAGGTCCAACCATCCCCTCGCTAAGCCCTGAAGCCATCCAGGGGGAAAATGGTTGAATATAAATATGTAGCATACATGAATATATACGTATATGTGTGTATATGTATGTATAGATAGACATCTAGATGTCTAGATACTAGTTCGGAAAGCGCTGGCAAGTCAGCTGACAAGGTAAGCTTGATGAACCTAAGGATAACTGGGGTGCGCTTTATTTGGCTCAGTGAAGTATATAAGGGAACATGACCCCCCCCCCCCCCCCCAGGCCCCAAACCAACTTGAAATTTGTAGCACGCTGCCCTAGAGGCCCTAGATTTTTGTCAGCTTCGTGCGTTTCGAGTAGATGCAAAGCTTTGGAGCCATGCTTATGACATGCATGACGTTCATGCTTCGCGGGGTGCAGCATCGCACACATCGCCACGAGCCAAGGCCCTGTCCGCGTATCTGCGTACCGGGCTTAACAAGCCAAGGTCTCAAAGCATCTTCTTGATTGAAGGATGCCCAACAGACGTGCAAGATACTGAGTTGTGCTTTAAATGGTGTCAAACAGTTTTGAGTAGAAAGAGGGGAAGGTCAAACACATCCCAAAGCACAACCCTGTACACAGATGAATGCGCATGGCTGCAAGACCACCCGCTCTCGATGCTGCTTCGGCCGGGCAAACGATTTCCGTCTGTGCATAAGCACCCTGAATCCTAAATCCTAAACGCCAAGCCCCAAATACTAAACCCTAAGTCCTAAACTCTAAACCCTAAACCCTACATCCGAAACCTTACGTCCTAAACCCTAAACCCTAAGAGGCCAAGCTTCATGGCAGGAAACAACAAACATCACGTCTCGAGCTGAAGGGATTGAGCCACCGAACCCCGTACATGGAGGTGCAAAGGTAGAGCAAGGATTAGGGTTTAGGGATGTTTAGGGTTTGGGATTTAGGGCTTATGGTTGAGGGTGGGCTTCTGGCTTAAAATTTAGAGTAGGTATAAGTTGGGGAATATGTATGGTAGCTAAAGTTTTCACCATCATAACCTACGGCACTTTCAAGCCTACTTTGAACTGTCCATAACCAACTTCCAGAAGCCGTGTCTAGCCCTGCCAAAGCACGGTCGGTCGGATTGGGGGACTTGCCAAGTCAGGCACAAGGGCTTCGAACAAGGGTGGGGCGAGGCGGAATCTCGGTGGGACCCTAGACCCTAAACCCTAAACCCTAAAACCTATACCCTAAACCCTAAACCCTAAACCCTGGTTTGTGTTGAGCAGCCAGAAAGCTGCACAGTGCATGTGGTGATTATACTATATGAGAGCCCTCGGCAAAGTCTAGAGGCTACAAGTGATATTCAGGGTACATATTTCTTGTACCCCCAAAAGGACACCCAATATATACACTCACCAATATCGAAAGGGAACCTTATATACACTCACCAAGAACAGTACTATAAACCCTACTTCACACGATATTCAGGGTACACCGCTTTTGGGGCTAGGTATCGCTTCGGAACACAACGCGATGACATCTGGAGGTATCGCTGTTGGGATGGGTGTCGCTTCCACAGGAAACTTGCTCGTGTCTCGCTCGGATTGGGGAGTCTCTACATGATCCGAATTGTCAAAGGAGCCCGACAAAGCCCTCACCCGCACTCCTCTCGCGCCGAAAAAAGCAGACACCGTGGAATGCTCTGTGCGAAGAGTCTCTTTTCTGTTTTTTTATAAAGAAAACCTCTTTGCCAGATCCGGTGAAGTGTTTAGAAGCAGCTTTCCAAACACGCATCCCTCACTGCTGAGGCTGTGGTGAAGGGCTCGGGGCTTGCCTAAATCCGGCGCCAAGACCTCCAAACCCTGAGCCCCGAGCCCTATACCCTAAACCCTAAACCCTAAACCCTAAACCCTAAACCCTAAACCCTAAGCAGGCGTGAGCCTGTCTGAGATGCTGAGGCGGAGCTTACGGAGCATGGCAGCACGCCTGTCCTTGGCTCGTGTGGATCACGGTACCAGCAGCGCAGAGCTCGCTACTAGGAATTGCTTAAGAGGTTTGGGGATTAGGGCTTAGGGTGTAGGGTTTAGGAATCCCCCAAGAGATGTACACAATAATGCCCCGCCCTTCAAGGGCAATGTAGGGATTATGGGGGGAGTTCTTAAGCAAGTAGTAGGTTAGTAGGTCTCATCGTAAGAGTGCTGAAAGGCTCATGCCAATCGATAGGGTAAACGCTTGTTGACCCTGTAGCTACTACGACATTGGGAAGCCTTGAAGGCCCTTAAGTATAGACTACATTGACTACAAAGGCACCTGGACAGCAAACCCAGACTAAGGGCGCCAAGCGTCTCCAACGAGGTCTGCAAGACCCCCTCCTGATCTGTCAAGCAGATGTTGAGGAGGAAGGGGGCCAGACGAGAGCGCTTCGGGCGCTGAGAGCTCTGGCTGGACCTCGACGATGTGCGATGCATGCGGCAGCGCAGACTTCAATGAGACGGGCTCTTGCAGTTCTTCGCGAACATCCTTCTCGCTCGAGGCGGGAGGCCGGTCGAATCTGTCGAAAGAGGTCTCGTCTTGAAGAAACCTGATGATCTCCGGGCCCTCTGTGAAGCTAACCCGTCGGCGCAAGTCTGGCAGAGCGATCGCCACCTGCGAGGACTCTGCACCGTGGCCAGGCGAAGGCACTGTAAATGTGAGGATGGTTGGGCTTGAACTTGACCTTGTTGTCCTTGGGGGCGTTGGGAGCATCACCACGTGCTTTCGCGGCGCGCAGCTGTTTGCACGAGGCGCCGACGGTTTCTGCGGAACAAGAGCCGTCATGGGAAAGAGTTTAGGAAATGGAATGAGAGGACACACAGGTATTCCCAGTGACCTCTGCTAGTGCAAGTGCAGAGCAACAGGAGATATCTCCCTGCTGCGTCTTGAGCCATCGCCGTGAGATAAAGGTCGTGGGCTGCTGGTCAGGGATACGAACCACGACCATCAACTCTGCTGCCCTTCTTTGAATGGCAATGTGCGAAACAACTGTGAAGCAGACAGATCCTTAAGCAGCAGCATCTCAGGAAAGACACAAGCTTTCTGCTGAAGAAGTCCAATTCTCTGATCAGCTGTTCTCAGATCTCTTCACCGAAGAGATTGACGAAGCCGAATATGCCCAAGGTCTACACACACTGGCCTGAAGAAATCGAAGAATCGAATAACAACTCACAACACTGCATGCATAACGGACAGCAGCCAATCAGGAACCCGAGTTCCTGGACAACGTGCACCTACCCAGCCTTTGAAGAGCCCTGAATCCTAAACCAGGCGGTTTCAGGGCTTGTGAGGGTTGAGGGTTTCGGGATACCCTCGTTCAAGAATCTTCAGTTCCTGGGACCCCAAACACTAAACCCTAAACCCTAAACCCTAAACCCTAAACCCTAAACCCTAAAACCTAAGCATACCCCCTTAGGCATGCCCCTGAACAGAAATGGGGCATGGTAAAATACCGCATGAATTCTCCTTTCAAGCAATCCACGCAGAGGCGTATGGGCCTGGGATATGAAGTAGGGTATATATTTCTTGTACCCCCAAAAGGACACCAGGTATATACACTCACCAATATTAAACAGGAACCTTATATACCCTCACCAATAACAGTAATGTAAACCCTGTTTCATATGTTGAGCTTAGATAAAGCAACCCTGTCAGCCCTCTGCCTTCCAAAAAACTGATCAAAATACACCTCCTAATCTCGCGGTTTACCACGCAGCTTTCGGTGACCTGGAGTTTAAACCCTAAACCCTAAACCCTAAACCCTAAACCCTAAACCCTAAACCCCAAACCCCAAAAACCCTCAACCCTAAACCCTAAACTCTCACACATGCTCAGCACCCTGCCGTTCGCCGCGGCGCTCGCTGCGGCGTGGTGGCTCTCGGCTGCTACGTCCACGGCCTACTTGGAGTTTCAGGGTTTCGGGTTTAGGGGGTAGGGCTTAGGGTTTAGGGTTTAGGGTTTAGGGTTTAGAGTTTAGGGTTTAGGTTTCAGGGTTCAGGGAGGGAGAGCTACGAGTATAGGGTGCAGGTATAGGGGTTTAGGATCAGGGCTTACGGGTTTTTGTGCTGTTTCCTAAACTGCGTTTCTAGAAGTACGTACCTTTAACCCTACTTGCAACTACCCAGGAACCTCCCAGAGCATTAAGGTGCAGCGGTTTCTAGGCTCTCGTGGAGATCCGGATTTCGGTTAGGATTTCTAGGCAGGTTGCGAACGGAAGCGGAGGGGTGGGGGGAGACCCTAAACCCCCTGAACCCTTTGAGTTCTCAGAGCCCTAAATCATATTAAGGTTCATTTTGTACTCTGAGGCCTATTCCTGAATTAAGGGGTATTGGGCTCTCTGGGTTTCATTGGGCGCCTGAGTGCCCCTCACATACCCTATACAACCCAAGGGCCCATACAAGTCAGTATCGTTGCGACTACCGCTATAAAGCGTTTTGTGTTATCGTTACCTTTGCTTCCGAAGGATATCTTCGAAGTCTGTTGAAGGCTCCTTGAGCGAATCCTGGATGCAGTTCAGGGTTTATTGGGTACATGGTCAGTGCTTCAAACTTGGCGGTCCTTGCGAGGAAGACGGCCCCAAACCGGTGCATCACCTATGGTCAAAGGGAATTGTTGCAGAGCCCCGGGCGTTCTGCCCGCCAGCTGCGTGAACGGAGTCGAACTCGCCTGAAGGACTGAAGGAAGGTTTCGGGGTCGGCTTTCTTGCTCGAGTAGCTGCTGGAGTACAATAGTCGGACACCTTAAAGCAGCTTCCCTGTGGTCGATATTCCCGAAACGGCAAAACAACAAACCTGGCGCCTTGTCGGGTGTCGGACTTGAGCCAATGGCTTGGTGCTTCGGGTTTTGAAACTATGAATGAAGTGTTTCTTTTTTTGAGGGGGGGGGGGGGGGCTAGTTGTGTCAATTCCAGGAACCGTATGCGAGAAGCTTGCCTTCTCATTCAGAGTAGTACGGGCCAATGATGGAGAACTGGGTGTCTACACACAAATATAAGGTGTCAGCTTGAACTCAGTGAAACCCACGTGGTAGTATCCCTACCATCGGGTCGTATCCAGGAGCCACCCCTTCACGACGAAACCCGCCCACACAAATCGCCAATATAGAGGAGAACCCCAAGGCGCGACCTTCAGGGGGTTTGCGGGCAGGGTTTATGTTTAGACAGCCATGGGTTACCCCCTAGGTTGCGCATTCTCCTACAACCTCACCTCACTTATCGACACAGACAAAGTCTCCGCAGGCTGCCCCATTTCTGTGGTCAAGCGCGCGTCAGGGAACAGGGGTACTGCTAAAACAATGCGGCTCCCGAACCCCGCACCCTAAACCCTCACCCTAAACCCTAAACCCTAAACCCTAAACCCTTAACCCTAAACCCTAAACCCTCAGAGGGCCCTCTTGAACCTTTTAAGCCAACAGTCCGTGGAATTCACTACGCCCATCACTTATATATATATATTGACCCCAGAACGGGCCGAACCCCAAGAGTCCGACCTGTCAAACCTGCGGTGATCTGCCCCGGTTACTTTAAGCGCATCGCGCTGGACATTGGGTGGGGGGGCGGGGGGGGGGGGGGGGGGGGGGCTTGAAGCACTAAAAGACCCTGTGCGAAAAACGAAAAAGGGGGGGGGGGGAGCAAAACCCTAAACCCTAATTAAACAGCATGACCCCCCCAAGGTCGTTCCCAAAAACTCGGCATTCTCGCCTCACGAGCTGTCATTCGGACATGTGCTTAAGCCGACAAACAAACAAACGAACAACCTGAAGCCGCTTGGGCATAAAGACGCAAGGGCTCTGCAGGCCATGGGAAGCAGTTTAGTGTTTTGGGTTTGAGGCTTCTCGCCCGCCCAAAGCATTCAATCTTGAGCCTTCCGAAGCCTCAGTCCACATAAACCCTCAATCCTGAAACCCTAACCCCAAACCCTAAACCCCAAACCCTAAACCCTAAACCCTAAAAAGCCCCAAAGCCTCGGTCAAAACACTGAAAAAAAGCCCCCCAGTCCCGATCAAACACCCCTGGACTCCCCCAAACCTTCTAAACCCTAAAAATCCCCACCAAAACCCCGCCGTAAAAACCCTACAAAACCCCTTAAAAACCCTACAAAAACCCTCGAAAACTTAAAAACCCCACAAAACCCCGCAAAAAAACCCTACAAAACCCCGCAAAAACCCAACAAACAACCGCAAAAACCCTGCAAAACGCCCTGCGAGGCGGCCTGGACTCGCGGCTCTTGGATCGCGGCTTTGGCTTCTGACTGGGACTCTCGTCGCTGTCCTGCAGTCTTGGGTTTAGGGTTTAGGGTTTAGGGTTTAGGGTTTAGGGTTTGGGGTTTGGGGTTCAGGGTGTACGGCTTAGGGCTGCGGGTTTGTAAGGGGCTCAGGGCGAACTGGGAATAACGAGGTAGCCGTTTGAACTCAAACGTTTTGTGTTTCTTAATTGCGGTGCATGTCTATATATATATATATATACATACGTACCCTTTAAGGGATTATATAGGGTACCTCATTCCCTGATTCCCAGAGACAAATACAAAGTCTCCTCGAAACCATCATCACAGACTCCGCCCAAGAAAGACGTCCATCGCATCTGACATTTTGATGCCGCATCTTGTATACACGTAGTGGCCGATGAGCACTAACAATCCTTTCTACATCTGCTTGGCTCTAAACCCTAAACCCTAAAGCCTAAAGCCTAAACCCTGATAAGTGTAACCCCTCAACAACTGAATCTCCCCCAGCGGTGTGCGGGCAATGTGTCTGGGAGCTTCGGTTGAGAATCGTAGGATGGCTGTAAACTGCCACATCGCCAGGTCTGCGCAGAAACCCGAACAACTTAACACAACTCCTGGAGACCGCATCATTGCTTGCTTGCTTGCTGAGTTCATAAGCCCCCCAAAAAATGTACACTTTCAGTTCTATAGGGGATTATAGTATCCCAAAAAGTGTAAAGTCTACTCGTTCAGCTACTAAGATTGTGATTCTCCCAAATAAGAAAAGAATTGAAAAGAACTAAGTCCTACAACCTAAACCCTAAACCCTAAACCCCAAACCCTAAACTCTAAACCCTAAACCCTAAACCCTAAACAAACCCTACACCCCAGTTCGGCGACAGGCAGACAGGTTTCGGCTTCGGGCTCCAGGGACTGACAGTTCCGACGTCAGAGCTTGGGCACTGGATGCTTGGAGTCTTAGGCTCTAGGGTTTAGGGTTTAGGGTTTAGGGTTGAACGCCCCGCCAGCAGTGAGCTCATGATCATTTCATGAATGTCGGCGTGCTCCTTGACTCTCGCCTAGTTCAGGGGTGAGCTCGCGTGAACTCGCTTTTTCGTCTGCAACTGTAGATGCATGCAAGGAAAAAGACATGGCGGACAGCTTTCACATCCACAAAGCAGCTGATTGAGATCTGTTTCCTAAAACCTAAACCCTAATGCCCAAGAACCCTAAACCCTAAACCCTGAAACCTGTAGGGCACGAATCCAGAGGTATGGAGGCATCCTCGTCGCTGTCATCCAAGTCGACGGCTTTCTTATCTCCCGACCTTGTCTGGGTTCTATACAGCACCCTTCTATCGGGGCCTTAACAATCAGAATAGGGTTTTGGGGGTTCTTGTGGTATAGCTATCAAGGGACCCTAAGGGAATAATCGTAGCAATTATTCCGACCCCTATACTAAGAATACGTAGGGTGCCCTCATGTTGTTCCACGGGGTTTATCAGGGCAGCTATTCTTCGCCCTAAGCCCTAAACCCAGACGCCCAAACACACTCTCAACAACCCTAAACCTGAAACAAGTG